TTTTTATTTGTCCTGCAAAAAGTAATCAAGCTGTTGAGGGACAAGGGACCCTTATCCACCGCCAATGCCCCAAGGTTTACACATGATTGAAAATAATCAGAAAAAAAATACTGTGAGTAGAAGGGACTTAATAAAATAAGTGTTATCTAAAGGTTGCAGAAAAATGCAGACCACACACCAGGTCATAGAAGTCACTGTCTGCAAGAGTGATAATGTAATTTTGACATTTTGTTTTAAAAAAGGTAAAAGTTTCTTCTCTTTATAACAATGCAAGGATTGAAAACCACAAAAAATGCTAGCCAGGATCATGGTCCGGATGAACGTTTTAGCATGCGGTTAGTGTAAACAGGCCCTAATTTACAATTCATAAAAGAATTAAGAGCAGGACCTAAACTGTCAAACTGCAGAGAAAGTGCCTCTCCCTGTGTTATTATCAGAGCACTGTGGCAGCCAGGTGCAAAGAGCTCCAGACACAGAACAGGTGGCTTTTGCACTGCCAGTGGAGCACCACTGGCTACGCAAGCAGAACCATAATCTCCCAGTGTATTCTGCAGGGCTGAGCTATCAGTCGGACAGCTTAGTCCTGCACAGTGCAGGACAAAGCTGGGCAATGCAGAAGAGGCTCCCACCCCAGCTTTGCCCCCACATGATGGCAATTCGGGGCATGTGGATTTTCTGCCCCTGCCTCGGGCTAGCCCTGGGAATTGGTAACTGGTACTAATGTACCCCTGTACTCATTCCTCTGGGAGGGGTCATATATCTAGGTGCCCCCTTATTACAAAGGAATTTTCTAGATTCCAAAGTAAATCCCCCATAATAATCCCATCTCCTTCTTGGTGGTGTCTTGTAGGGGAGGAGGCTTTGTTGCACTCTCCTGCATGATACCCCCACTGTTGAGAGGCATGTGGCCTGGTCTGGTACAGGAAGGGAGGGTACAGGCACAGGGAATTTTAAGGGGGAATTTAAGGGGAAACCCATGGTGTTTTTTCCCTTTTTTTCGAAGTTACTAGAGACAAGCAGCACAGGTAGCATTTTTACTACAAAAATAAAGAGACTTCTTAGATTACAGCAGTGTAAAATTGGCCAGCAGCAGGATAATTTTAAATAGCAATTTTAGACCCAAAGTTACTAGAGACCATGAGCACAGGTAGGGATTTTTCAATACAAGAATGAAGAGACTGCAGAGGATACAGCAGTGGAAAACTGGCCAGCAGAAGGACATTTTTAATCAGGGATAATAGCTCTAACTGGTGCGTGCCTAACATTTATCTACGGGCATAGGGGGAAAGTTGAATGCGATTTATATACGGTTGGGTATTTTAGCACAATGTTCTCCCAGTTAGTTTTATCTTTATTTCAAATGATGAAGCAGCGAGTAACAAGTGAATTGCTTTGAGCATCCCAAACTTTAAAAAAGGCCATAACAACATAAATAACAGTATAACCCAAAAATAAGAAAAAACTCAAAAATGCTGCGTCCTGAAACATAGCCCATTTTTAAAAGGGCTTAATTTGCCCAACAATTGCTGCCTGCTATGAACATAAAGAAATTGGGAGGAATGTACCTGATAAATATATTATAAACTTTCGATAGGCACAATATCAGTTAGAGCAGGGGTGGGGAACGTGATTGGTCTGGCCCTACGAGGCAGCAGCCGGCTCCCCTAGTGTGACCTGCAGACTGAAAGAGGTGATCCGCCCCTCCCCGCCTGCAGCCTTGGGTTGGACACATTCGGCACTGCTCGCCCTGCTCCACCCTCCGCTCCTATTCCCCTCCCCGCCGCATGCAGCACCAGAGCTTCTCGGCCTGCGCTGACAGGCCATATCTGCTGGCTGACATAGAGAAATTTGTCTGTAGAGGTGAGTCTGCATGTTATCTGCATGTTATTGCTGGGTCATTCTCAGGTGGGCTGTGCAGAGCCTTTAGTATGTGCAGGGTCTCAGGTGGGCTCTGCAGGATCTCAGGTGGGCTCTGCATGTTCTCAGGTGTGCTCTGCATGTTCTCAGGTGGGCTCTGCGGTGTCTTAGGTAGGCTCCACAGGGTGTCAGGTGGGATCTGTGGGGTCACTCACAGACGGGCTGTGCAGAGTCATTGGTATATGTGGGGCCTCTGCAGGGTCTCAAGTGGGCTCTGCAGGGTCTACGGTGGGCTCCACAGGGTTTCAGGTGGGCTCTGCAGAGTTACTCTCAGATGGGCTGAGTGGGGTTTCAGGTTGGGCTGTGCACAGTCTCTGGTATGTGCGGGGCCTCAGATGGGCTCTGCAGGATCTCAAGTGGGCTCTGCAGGATCTCAGGATGGACTCTGCTGGGTCTCAGGTGGGCTCTGCGGGGTCTCAGGTATGTGTGGAGTCTCAAGTGGGCTCTGTGGGGGTCTCAGGTGGGCTCTGCAGGGTCTAAGGTGGGCAATATTGTCAATACCAGCTTACATCATAATCTGCACCAAAAAGAAGCAGTTCCAGTCATCACATTAGGGGTGAGTTAATCGTTTGACCAAATATAGCACGCTCATTTTTAAGTTGATAATTTTGTATGGCACGCGAATGATGTTATAAATATCCAAATGGCCCTTGGCAGGAAAGAGGTTCCCTACCCCTGAGTTAGAGATAGGAAAGAAAGATAAGAGAAAATTGGGGGAAATAGGTAGAAAGAAAAAAAGAGGTGAATCAGTGTCAAAGAGGTGGAGGGGGAGGAATTTTAAGGGAAAGGTCGGGGTTATAGGGAAGTGGTCACCAGATAAGCAATAGAGCTGAATTCAAATGTGCAGGTTGGGAATAAGATACCCACAGTAGTGAGATCTTTAGAATTGTTGGGTATCATTCAAGATTTCTGTCAGTTGCTCATTAATCATGATTCCATTTTTGACAGCCTCAAAACTTAGAGATGTGGTTTTTCAGGCCCTGGCTGTTGTCAATTTAGTGGCAATGAACAAGAGTAGGGGCAGGTTTATTAAGTAGAACTTCATAGGGCTTTTTTAAGATGGTTTTATGGAGGATAATTTTAATAAGGTTGTATACTTTGCTCCAGGGTTCATCAGCCTTGGAGCAGTGCCACCAGATCCATGGCCCACCAGAGTGGCTAGGGGCATCTTCGAAAACAGGTTGGATTATACGGTAGATTAGAATGTTTCAACAGGTATAATACCACATATAATACCACTCTAAAGGAATTCTCTATTGCAAGAAGCATTTGACAGTTGCCATCCAGATATCACACAGATCTTTAGGGGACAGAGTGGACCCAAGTTAGGTTTTTGTATTGTTTGGTAAGTTTTAGAGATGATAGCTTTGAAATATCATATGAAAAGATAGATGAAAGAGATGAGACCTGCGGCATGTGGATCTGCACATCTATTCTCGAAGGGAGTAAGCAGGGCCGGCCTTAGGGGTGTGCGAGCAATGTTACAGGCAGCGATGCCTGTTAACATACAAGCGATCCGCCGGCTACAGAGGCGGCGGATCGCTTGTATGAGGTCCCGTGAAATGCGCCCTCCCCGGCTCCCCCCCTCCCGCTGTCATGCTGGTCCCCGGCTCTGCTGTGCCCAGTGCGAGCCCGAGACCAGCATATGGCCTCTGTCACAGGGCATCAGAGGGAGCTCGGTACACGAGCTCTCTCCTGTCCCCTCTGCGCTGTCAGAATGCGGAAGTGGTATATATTACATCACTTCCGCATTCTTGTGTCACTCTCCTGCTTCAGATGCTGGAGAGAAGCTGATGAAGCAGATCTTTGCTTCATCAGCTTCTTCAGGCGGTCCTAGCTGACATTACGGGTCTTGGAGACCACTGATGTCTCCATAAAGAGGACCTGTCACATATTTTGCTATCACATAAGGGGGTTTTCTAACCCCCCTATGTGATAGCAATAAAGTTTCCCCCCCAAAAATTTAAAGTTACAAATAAAAAAGAATGACATTTTTTTTTTAAAGTCCCCCCCATACATACACGCATGCAAACAGGCGTCGGGTGCACATACGTGTGAAAACGACGATTTCGCCCATTACGCCGCACATGTTACATATCGCCGCGAACGTCGGAATGAGAGCAATAATTGTAGGGCTATCAATCACTGATAACACTAAACTGATGAGCGGTAAAAGCTTTTAAAGCGTCACCTATGGTCAATTTTAGGCATGGTAATTTTTTGCGATTTCACGGGTGCGCGCAATTTTAAAGCATGACATGTTTGGTGTCTATTTACCCGACGTGACCCCGCTTTTTATATTTTACTAAAAATATGGGTAATAAATGGGTGTGGTTACTGGGGGTGTGGTCACTAAAGGGTGTGGCCGCTGAGGGGTGTGGTCACTGAGAGGCGCTGTAAAGCTTTCTCGCACAGGGCACCTAAAGGCCTAAGGCCGGCCCTGGGAGTAAGCGAGTGCGAGGAGGGATGGTTTTGAAGAACAGCGTTAATATAGTATTGTATCTGTATGTAGTAGAAATACCAAAGGGATGTCAGATGTTTCCCGAAGTTGCTGAAAAGTTTAAATACAATAGATATCCTTGAAGCCTTTAGCTAACCACCAATGAAATTGGGTTGGGTTTTAGGGAGCATTGTGCACTTCAGCATGCGCTGACCACGCTCTGTCATTTTATGTGGCCTACCACTTAGTGGCTGAGTTGCTGTTGTTCCCAGTTGCTTCCACTTTGTTATAATACCACTAACAGCTGACTGTGGAATACTTAGTAGCAAGGAAATTTCACGGAACACCTGAATCCAATGATTTGGAGGGGAGTCCCAATACTTTTGGCAATACAGTGTATCTTAAATCTGGACACAGCTTCACTTTACATACTGTCTCTACCAGCACACCTCCCTCTTGCTGCTCCTTGGCCTGCAGTTAATAAATAACTGAACTTCACATAATACATGCAGATAACAGAACTGGAGACTAGAGTGCCTGTCAGCAAAATATGGGCAGGAACAAATGACAGGAATTAAACGGGTATAGTGACAGCTTTTCTCCCCAGTACTGACCAACTCTAAAGTTTCAGATCAAGAACTGTGGAAACATGGGTCTCAGAAATATTCAAAGCAAGGTAAGGCAAGAATGTTACCTCTACCTACCTCTCAATTTTCAGTCCCAGTTTATTACAATGGCCGTTTAACCCAACAATAATCACGTGAATTGGTATTGTATCTTATAGATTTTAGTCAACAGAAACTTGTTCTTTTTTAACCTACTGTTGTGTACTGTTTATCTTCTGTAGAGTAATTGTGCTCCAAAGATGGGCCAAACTGCAAAAGCTGTTACTGTATTTTTAGTAAAGATATTTAAGACTTTAGTTGACTTTTCCTACTGGATATTTTATAGTAGAGGATATTAACAGTATATTAGATGTCTTCAGGCAGCACTATCATAGAATGGTGTTGAAACCTATGAGTGGTCCGTGTTCCTTTGGTGCACCTTAGCCACCTCTGTCTGTATGACCAATTGTAAAACCAACCAGTGCTAGTTGCTCGGTTTTGTACCATATTTCACCATGACATGAGCTCACCGTTTTTCCTTTAAGTGCTGGCATTTTCCATGATGACAAATTGGGCCTAACCAGCAGAAAGAGACAGCAGTTGTGCTGTTGTCTATAATAAAGAGAACCAGTCTTGATTTAGCTTATGCACGGATTAGAATATTCAGTCTGTGCAGGCTTACTTGTGAATGATTTATTTTCCCCCTGATACCTTACCTATTGCTTCCCTGTCTTAACAAACCGCACACTCAGAAAATGCGATACATTTTTCATTGAAGTCACGCAATTGATATCCGTCAGACTTCAGGTTATATCTGATTATCTGATTCGCTCAACAATTAAAATGACCGTATATGTGCCCTCACAGGTCCCTGAGAGCAAAACTTTACTTGCGGAAAGACAAGGGCTGCCATTGCTGTCTTCTTATTTTGTAAATGCTAATTGCCTGCCTGTCATGTTGGCTTCAGTATTTTGAGCCATTAAGGTAGTATTACATTCTCAATTTTTTTGTTAATAATGATTTCAGATCAAACAAAAATACATTGCCTAGCAAAGTATTTCTTAAAATGTATGCCCAAGCACTTACAGTCATCATGTTTCCAAACAGTTGGCTCTAACTCTCTAAGCTCAGCTTCCTTGAACTTTCTGTCAAGGGACAAGAGAGAGCACAGTCTCCAGCAGCTGTCCATCACCTACAAATGGATGCTGCTTCTTAATGTTTAAAAGTTTTATTTTCTTGTGGAATCACCTGGTCCCCTGAGCACTGGTCCTGATATCCTGTTTTAGGGTGGCTCCTTTCTCTTGCAGGGTCCTATGGAGCCACCCTTGTGTGTGCTAGTAAGCTGTGTGTGTCTCCACAGACACAGCAAGGCAAGACATTCCCCTCCCCCCTGCACCCTGTTCCCCCCTTATCCAAGCTAGAAGATGTTATAATGTTTTATGAGATTTTAGGGATTGGGTTAACATATACTTTAACCCTTTCACTGCCAGCACCGTATGCCTTAAAGCGCTGGCTGCGGGCCCCTGCAAACAAACTCCTGGTTTACATGTGTAAAGCAGTCTGTTGGCTTTACACTGGAAGCGATTCTGGCAGCTGAAAAGCCTCCAGATTGCTTCCAGGGGCTGGTAAACGGAGCCCCATCCAACACCAGCCTTGCTTCCTGCGCTCCGCTGCCCCTCCTGTGGGTCTGAGACCAGCATTGTGGGTGTAGGCGGGTAGCACGGAGAGATGCTAACAAACATCCCTTCGCTGATCTCCTCCCCACTGAATAAAGCCAGAAGTGACGCTGCTTGCATCACTTTCGGCTTCTCAGCTGTAACGATCTATGCTTGATCAGCTTTATTGAAGTGCATAGGTGACATTAGGGTTTAATAGACCCCTAATGTCACCTTAAAGAGTACCTGTCACCTTCAATTTGCTATCACATAGTGTGCTTGCGAGCCCCCCCTATGTGATAGAAATTAGGTTAAGTTAAAAAAAAATGTCCCTCGTACCACGCAAATGTCCACATACTAACGCAAACAAGCGGCGTATTAACAGTTAACGCTAAACTAATGGCCCGTACAGGTTTTTAAAGTGCTGTCTATAGACAATTTAGGGTATTGTATTTTTTTACCATTTCACAGGTGCACACAATTTTTAAGCTTGGCATGTTGGGTATCTATTTACTTGGGATAAAGGCATATTATATATTTTTTTTAAATTGGGTATTATATTGTGTTTTTGTGCACTAAAATTAACTTGTGTATTTTTTACTGAAATGTTGGGTTTGTTAAAGAGTTGTGCTAATATTATGCAAGATAAAAATTTGCAACTGCCTCCATTTTTACAAGGTCTCTTCCCTCTGGAAATATATCATTCTGAATAGGGTTTTAAGTAATTTTCAGGCCTAAAATGTGACAGCGAAAAGTGTTAATACCAGCATTAAGCAATACATTCTATGCAACTGTTTAGCAATGTTTACTATTATTTTTTGGATTTACTTTTGGGAGATGTTTTTAGCGTGTAGCAGAAAACAAAGTATTTCTCCCACATAAAAACGTAGCTGTGTGTTTTAGAAATATATGTCATTACATAAAATGTAGTTCTGTAACTGTTAACCTTTTCCGAAGCCTGAAAAAATCTGCTTATTAAATTGCGCGTGTGTAATATACATAGATACTTGATTTACTAAATTAATTTGACCTATGTTTGTTTTTAGTATTGATTGTTTAATGTGTAAATTCCTGCATATTTGTATGATCATGTTTATGTTATTGTATGCTAGGGTACTTTTTATTTCTGTGTTAATGTGATTGCTATTGTTTATTGCCAATCCAATTATTTGATGCTTCCTCTTTGTGTTTTTGTAATCATTTTATTCATTTTTTCTTTTCGTGCTAACACTATGACAACAAGGACAAAGCGCCAGCATATTTTTAATTGTTCTATTCCTTTGCAGACCTCTTCTAGTTGTGAAGGAAAGGTACGCATACCACGTGGTTCATAAACTAGAGCAACTTTTCCTTTGGGACATGGAAAAAGAACTGAAGCCTACAGATACACATCAGTACTATTTCGGATGAAGTCGCACACTGTAACATAATTGCAATGTCTTCTTTCCCTTCACTTACTGAGAAGCAAAAGAACAGAAGACCAACTGTGTGGCCATCAGAAACATCAACTTGGGGAGATGCACCGAGTTTCTCATTTGACTACTATGACCACGATGCCCGTAAGCAGGTTGGAACATTATCAGATCCACATGATACACAGTATCAAGAACTCAGTGGCATGAAACCTGCCCAACACTTCATTCCTGAATCCTGGAAGAGGTATTTTTGGAAAAGCCGGAAAAATGGAGAACCTTTTCCACTGAAGAATTTGGAAGGTGTCCACAACTCACCACCAGTTACACCACTTCTAGATGCTAGCACAAACTCCACTCTTGAGAAGAAGAGTGGTATTCTCACTGCATCATCAAACAGTGTTAATCCTGCTCATAATGTTAAAAATAAGAAAACTCCAGATTCTCTGGAAAGGAGGAGTCAGATGAACTATGGAGAAAAGGTAGAAGCATACAGCTTAAAATACTCCTACATGAAGTCCTGGCCTGGTTTGCTCAGGATCCTATCTGGAGTGCAGTTAATTTTGGGTGGTATGGTGTTTGCCTGCACATGTGCCTATATTCAGAAGGACTACCAGTGGTACAATCTCTTTGGTACTGAACTCCAAAGAACATTGCCTGGTGGCTACAGCTATTATGGTCCAATGACTCCATTTGTGATGATTGTTGCTAGTTTGGTTTGGCTGGTAACTTTGATCCTGTTGGGGTTGGGTCTGACCATGTACTACCGGACTATTCTCCTTAACTCTGACTGGTGGCCTCTCACTGAGTTTGCCATCAACATGATCATGTTCCTTTTGTACATGGCTGCAGGCATTGCGTACGTCAATGACTTAAACCGTGGTGGCCTCTGCTACTCTATGTTTGCTGTCAACCCACTAATGGTGGCATTCTGTAGGGTGGAAGGGGGTCAGGTGGCAGCCATAGCTTTTCTCTTCTTCAACATGCTTCTTTACTTGTTTGGCTCTTTGGTATGCCTCAAAATGTGGCGACATGAAGAGAGGCGAAGGCAGGCTGAGAAGGTTAAGGTGAGGGGAAATATTCAGGTCATAAGTGATCATTTCATTGTCCCTCATATTTCCCTCTCACGTGTTCCAGTGTTATTCACAATGTTATTTAAATATTAATATTTTAGTCATATGCTCTAATCCTGAATTAATTTGCTTATACGCTTGCTTTCACTGTTTTATGCCATTTGTCATAATTATATTCTAGAGTGCACTACCTGGCATTATTAGCTTTTTTACGTGTAAAATTACCTTTTCATGCAATTTTATATCAACTGGTCCACAGTAAAATTAGGGCTGTTTCACATAGCTACTAGTTATATTTTAGCATTCTAACATGCTCTAGGGTTGTGATAGAGGAAATGTCACCCATGCCATGGGCATCATTGCTGTTTTCCGTCCTCCAGTGTTTTATATGCCAGTCCCACTGTGTTGCCAAGTATCACATGCAAGTGTTCAGATTCAGAATCTCAAAGTCATTTTACCATGGGTATAATCACTTTTAGAAACTGAATAACCTGTGCCCTCCACAGATTGCGCAACTTTTCAAAAAATATGACCATTAGTGCTCGTTCACACTGTGTCCACTGAGCATGATCAACGCAGGCTCAACACAAGGGCACAATTGTTTATATGCCTTGTTCACACTGTAACAAGTAAGTGCACAGCTGCTCACTGCCCCCTACACAATATACACTAGCGAGCATGTGTTTTAGCGGGTGGGTGGTGTGAAAGAGCCCTTACTAAATGAAATATAGGGGCTGCCATTATTGACCTCCTTCTGGATATGCTAATTGCCTGTCTGCCTCCAGCTTCAATACTTTTTGAGTCACTAACTGGTGACAAGTATACAGGTCAGTTATTCTGACATCACTGGCTGCATATTTGCACCAGGGCAGTGATTGAAAGAACAGGTTTCCTTTAGTCTCAATAAATAGCAACATATACAGTAGATCAGTGCTGTAAAAGTAAACTATAGACCTTGATAGAATGCATAATATCACCTTGTGAAAACAGAACTCAGCTGAAGAGAGGACTAGAAATTGTGCTGCCATAGATGTATACTGTACACAGTATATCTATTTTCAGCTGAAATTACCCAAGCTTACAATATGTTAGGAACATTCTATTCGTTGCTAATGTTAACAATGTGTTGTACTGCAAGCAAACATATCAAGGACTTTTTTTCAGGCAGAAACTACTACTTCAACATCATTTCTATGCTGGGTTACCAGTTAAGGTCATTGCCTTCTCAGATCTCTTTATCCTACATACAATAGTTGAACTGTAATTTAGGGGGTTATTCACAAAGCTGCCGAAGGCAGCCGAGTGCATAACCAAGCCGAAGTGGAATGAGCCGAACGGCGTTCGGTTATTCACTGCGGCTCAGTGCGGCTGATTTCAGCTGTACAGCGGCTAAAATCAGCCGTACATGGGCTGCCTACGGTCAGCCGAACATGCTCTGCGTGTTCGCCTGAGCTGAAGTGCAGAAGCAGTTTGACTCAACAAGTTCACTCGCTGCCGTTCGCCCCTATTCTCAATTGGCTCGGCTATCCTGCTTGCTACCTCTGAGGTAGTGAGCACAATAAAAAGAAATGTAAACAAAAGAAAAAAATGTTTTAAATGTTACAAAATTATTTAAATGAATGTAAAAAAAGAAAAAGAAAGAAAAATGTAAAGAAAAATAAAAAAATTTAAAGAAAAATAAAAAATTTTTAAGAAAAATAAAAACAGCGTGGGGTCCCCCTTCCAAACCATACCAGGCCCTTTAGGTTAGGAGGGATCCCTATTTAAAAAAAAGAAATACAAAGCGTTGGGGCCCCCCATTTAGGAATTTAAGGAGGGACCCCAAGTTAAAAATTAAAAAGATAGTGCATGGGGTTCCCCACCAAAGTCATACCAGGCCCTTAAGGTCAGGTAGGAATTTTAAGGAGGAACCCCACCCCCAAAAATGGGGAAAAAAGTGGGGTTCCCCTTAAAATTCCCAACTAGAACCTTGATCCCAACACAGGCCTGGCTGGCTGGCTGGCTCGCTCTTCCCCCTCCCTCCCTGCCATACCAGGCCACATGTCCTCGGCACTGGGAGGGTGCATTTCCAGGGTCCCCCCTGGAAAATCAGCTTGTGCCAATGGGGGCAAGGGCCTCTTTCCCACAAGCCCTAGGGCGTTGGTTGTTGGGGTGTGGACATGGGGGCTTATTCACATCAGGCACCCCTTTAATAAAGGGGCAACCTGATGCGGCCCCCTCCCATGTGAATATATAAGTAAGGGGTACTTGTACCACTACCCATTCACTAGAGGGTTAAATTAAAGTTTAAAAAAAGAGGCGAGACTTTTGAAAAATCCTTTAATTGAAGAAAAAACAGTCTTTTATAAAAATAAAAAAAATCTCAAAAATAGATCCACCGACGTAATCCAAGGTCAATTATGACATCCAGCGTTGTCCACAACAACAACTACTCAGCGAAATTACATTTTTTTTTTTAAAACCTGACACCCGCCGACCCGTCCGAACGCGACAAACTCCTGCCGCAGAATGACATTCTGACAGATGCCAGCAAAATATAAACAATTAGGCGGAGCTAGCAGTGACATCACCGCTGGCTCCACACAACTGTTTACATTTGTCCGGCACCTGACAGTCTGCCCGAAGGTTCTGGTCAAATCAAAACAAATGGGCCGAGCCAGCCATGACATCACGGCTGGGTCCGCCCACAAGTTGTCCTTTAATGACAAACCAGTGTCCTCAAGCAAGCCATGACATCATTTGCCGGCAGGACGGCTTCGGCTGACCTTTCTCCACGATTCGGCTGTCACTACGTCTCAGCCAAGCCGAAGCATATGGGTTTGGCTCTTCTGCCTTCGGCTGCTGTACAGGCTATTGTGAAAGCCCGTGTAGCAGCCCTTCGGTTCGACTGAACCAAAGGGCTCCAGCGGTTGAAGCGAGCCGAAGGATCAGCTGAAGCTATGGCTAGTTCCTTCGGCAGGTAAGTGAATAACCCTCTATGCCTTCTTGAGAATAAAACCTGCGATTGAGCAGTGAGCAACTGGAGCACGTTTTTTTTTGCTTTGGAAGTTATAAATTCTCTAATGGAAAAGTAATTCTGTAAATGCATTTCTGTGCGTTGCCAGTTCAGTTTACTCTCATTTAAGGACTTGTTCACACCAGCAAGCTACTCTGAACACAGTTTCCTTTTTTGTTAGAACGTGTTTAAAATGTCACTCATCACAAAGTTCTATCGGCACAGCGCCGTTCAATGCGGTTGTACTGTGTTGCACCATGCTGTACTGAAAAAAGTACTGCGTACAGTACCTTTTTTTCTGCACACACCACCACAAGGTGCTAATTAAGTCCTCTTAAGGCATAGCAGGCGTCATATAAAGCACTACATATATCACAATGCCAAAATATCTGGTTAATAATGGTGGCAGTAGAGAATGAATGCATGCGTTTGTGTTTTCCATTATAGACCAAAGTTTGCATGAAGCAACATGATGTAAATTGCTGTTAACATACAAACACATTTACAAGTATATACTATACATTTATATAAGCCAACCTGTGTTTTTATGACTTTTAATTAAGCATACGTTAAGTGTTATGTCTTCCTGCAATCTTTTCTTCTCCCTTAGAGAATGGACAGACCAAGAAGAATAATCTTTCAAGATGAAGTTCAGCATTTAGAGGACATGAAAGGGAAAGTCACCAAAACTATCCATTTCACAGAGAAAGGCAGTGACTCTGGAGCTCTTAATCGTTCTATCCCTGCAGGTCACCGGCCAAAGCCTCACATGGTGCCGGATTATGTTCTGTAAGCATCTCATTTTTCATTATAGATTTGCATAAGTCATATGATCCACATACTTAGAGAAATTGTATCTTAATGTTGTATTTCCTATAAATGTAGTTAAACTTTTAGGGGGAAAATTCTGGTAAAAGCATGGTAAACATTGAAATCCTCCAGTATCTTTCAACATTCTTGATATTATGATATATTTGACCTAAAGATAAGTAACAAGTGTTATTAAACAGCAGAAGTATAGTCATCAGTAAACATAGCCTTCTTCCAAGGTTCAGGCAGGGGTATGAAGCCATATGTTGAACTAATGTAAGTATAGTCCTGTTTAATCTTATTGCCAGGTGCCGAAACCGCATTGGTAAAGTGGAACTTTGCAATGCTTTTTCAGGTAGTGTCGTCTGGGAATGCTAAAAATTTTAGTTTTATTCTGCTGAATTCTGCATTCTGTGATTGGATGAGGGGAGAGGAGGGGCGGGTAAACCACAAGATGTTTGTGGTTCACATGTGGTAGAGTATACCAGCATGTGGCAGAGTGTATCACTTTTTTCCAGCCCCCGTGTAAGCCACAGTGGGCCCACCATCTTACTGTTTATTGTAATTATCAGAAGGTCAAGGTACGAATGTATGGAACTATTGACACAAAGCTTTATTATATCAGAATTCATATGTGGAAAACCACTTTTAGAACTATTGTTTTAAAGGATAGGTGCAGCAACTGACATATAAATAAGCCATGCTCCCCACAGGCCAGGTTCTGGTCAAACAACAAGTGTTTCCATAGCAACAGGGGTGCAATTAATGTCCTCTTATACTTAGGATAAGTGCAAAAAAAACACCAAATGCCAAACTTTTCTAATGCAGGTTAATATCTGAATGTAATCATCTAATATGGTTGCAGGGTCTCCAACATGGCTCAGTTCGTAAATTACAAAGTACCCTGTTCCCGGACTTCCCTCTGCCATGTAAAAATCAACTGAACTTAGTGAATCATCTCTTGTGGAGGATGAGCGTAAAGGGAACCCCTGCTTAAAGTAACTCGGACACTGCCATTGATGACCTACCCTTCTAAAAATGTTACCTGCCTGGTTGTCAGGTTGATGTAATAGATTTAACGTTCACTAATTCTGAGTCACTAACCTAAAAAATTATATTGATCACATTTTCAGACTTTGAGTTTGACGGTGAAACTCTCAGAATAAAAAAAAAAAAAAAGAAGGGCTCTGCTATTATCGGCTTATTGTTGATGGTACAGATCCCAGACAGTCATCCTTATCCACCCTTTTACACATGCTTGGACAAAGGAGACCTGATCTGTGCATACTTGTTCCATTGCAGAGACTTACTAAGAAGCAAAGTGAAATGGTAAAGATGACAGCTTTGGATCTGGTTACTACTTAAACTGGCGCGCGCTGTGTGCAGCTTCTGAGAAGATACTTTTTATTGTTGAAAGTGTATCCCTAAGGGCTCATGCACATGGACAGCTATTTCCACAGCAGAGGCTGTCTACGTTCAGGGTTGTGCACTGGCGTATACCTGTGTACAGTCTATGACTAGCTGTTTACAGAATCTGTGGCTCCTGAGTGGGGAAACCAGCCTGCATTCACATTGTAAGGCGGCAGTGTCCTTGAGTCTTTATACGCAGTCATGGTTACCCAAATAAATGTGGTAATAAAGTGGGCATGAACTCAGACAATAGCATTGCACTTTCTGATATGTGACAGTGCCTAGACACATATTAGCTACCTATTTATATGCAAGGTGCCAGCACCATCTTTGTTTTGGTGTGCTGCAAAGAATGCTATCAAAAGCTGAGATCTATGGATGAGTAGAGTGATTTGGCAACATCTTGCTGTTTCAAGGACATTCATGCAGCACAGCATAATATGGTATTACATTATTAGTAGTATTTATATATCGCTGATAATTTATACAGTACTTTACATACGACACATTCACATCAGTTGCTGCCCTCAAGGAGTTTACAATCTAAGGTCCCTATCACACATCTCAGGGTAAATTTTTAGACAGGAGCCAATTAACCTACCAGCATGTCTTTGGAATGTGGGAGGAAACCCACACAAGCACTAGTGATGGACCAAACACCCCCGTGTTCGATTCGAATTTGAACTTTAGAACATGGAAAAAGTTTGAATTTGAACTCGAACTCAATGCTGAACACACAAACTGCCGATGTTCGAGTCAAACTCTTGCTCGACTCAACATTGAGGCCATCCCTAACAAGCACAGGGAGATTTTGCAGACTGCATGCATATAGTGCCCTGGCCGGAATCCAAACTGGGGATTGCAATGCAAAAGTGCTAACCACTAAGCCACTGTGCTGGGAAACGACAAAAAAAGTAATCTTGTATCTGTGAGCTACGACAAACATGCACTAGTTTCTAAAAAAAGTTTTATGAAGCAGTCATTTTTTATTTTGTTTACTGATAGATATTATCAGTAAACAAAACAAAAAATGACTGCTTCATATTAACTTTTTTTAGAAACTAGTGCATGTTTGTTGTAGCTCACAGATACAAGATTACTTGTTTTGTAGTTTTCCAGTGGTAAATTGTAGCATATCCTGTAAGTGGATAAACAGTGCTAATTATGTGAGATACCCTGTGTTTTACAGAAAGTATCCAGACATTCAGAATCCAGAAGAGCGGGAGAAATATAAAGCCGTTTTTAATGACCAATATGCTGAGTATAAGGAGCTTTACAGTGAGGTGAGGACTGCATTACTGAAATTCAAAGAGTTGGACAGTATGATGGAAAAAATTACTAGTGGACCTCAAAGTAAAAAGGTGAGTCCAAATAAGATTCTATCATCACTCAGTGTGGTCGGTCGTTTATTAGAAAGGGATATACAATCCAGGACATACTTTAATGCTCATTGCGTTTTGGCTGATATTTAGCAGTTATGTTTTCTTTCACAAACAGTTTATTAAGGTTTTTAAGAAATAACGAAGGCAAAAAAGGAAACAGAAATTCTAGCAGACATTTGAGTAAATACAGTATTTGAGGAAAGGTAACATCTTAGAAAAATAATACACGTATCAAGAAAGAGGTCTACAAGCTGAGACAACCAAAATGCAATAAAGTACAAATAAAGACTTTATAACAAAACAAAACTGAGGGATGTCCCCGATGTAGGGAATAGGAACAATAAAAAAATAACAGCAAATTAAAGGAAGAGGAATCATATTATTGCATCCTGTTACACGGAGGCATCAATTGTACACTGGCAACAACTAATGTCAAGAAAAATGAAGATAAAAAGTGCGAAAGGAGAGGGTAAACAGAAAGGAAAGGAAAGAGGAAATGGAGTTAGAGAGCAGCAGGGTCTCTTGAGGAAGGGGTGGGGGGAATCCATGGTGGCAAATGTGCAAAATCCAAGCTTTGATAAGGTGTGGTCAGGACGAGAGCATCCCAGGTATTCCACCCATGGAGACCAAACCTTAAGGAATTTCTTATGAGTGTCATTAAAGTGGACCTTTCGCTAAAAATCACATCAGCTCAGCATGCTGATATAAAATCATCTTACATTCATTAGTTAAACAAACATGTTTTTAATTTCATTACAAATAGAGTCCATCTACTTCCTGGTCCACTTCTGGCACAAATGATGTAATTTTAAATTTTGCCCAACCATTGCATCCTGGGAAGGTTGCAATGGTTGTGTCAAATGGGCAACAAAGTGTCTATTGTTAATTTGTATGATGTTGATTAACACTGTTGATCATTGGAAAGCAATAGGGTTGATTTACTAAAGACAAATAGGCTGTTCACTTTGCAAGGGAATTTGCAGTTAGCTTAGTGCAGGGGTCAAAATTTCAAGTCCTGAGCTACTAGCCAGGCCTTAGGAGTTACTCGCCACCAGTTGCCCACCTAACCCCTACCCTGCCCCGGCCTTAACTTCGCCCCTAAACACACCCTCTTAAATAATCTTATAAATTACACTGTTAGATGTTTTCTGCAAAATAAAGTTACAAAAATAAATATAAAATAATACACTCTCCGCCCTGTTCCATGCACCCCCACATATAAAATATTACCCTCTCCTCCCCTGTTCCCTGCCCCCTCACACATAAAATAAGAAGCCCCCCTGTTCCCTGCCCTCCCCCACACATAAAATAAGAAGCCCCCCTGTTCCCTGCCCCCTCACATAAAATAAGAAGCCCCCTGTCCCCCACCATGTAAAGTAAAACAATGAAGCCCCCTCACCTGCTCGTCTTTCTGCAGGGAGGAGACGAGCAGGCAGATCCCTGGTGATCTGGTGTGATTAGTAAGGTCTGCAGACATTACTAATCACTCTGTTTTCGACCCTGGAGCTCAGTGAAGAGCAGAACAGAGAGCCCAGCAGGAGCAGCTGCTCCCACTAGTCAGGTACTGACTCAAGCCTGACTGAATTTTCACTCGCCTGCACTGCATTTCCACTCGCCAAATGCGATCAGGCGAGTGGAAATTTTGAGCTCTGGCTTAGTGTATAAGGTAAAGCTCTGCTGACTTCCATCATCTGAAGATGACTTCCATCACCTGAAGAATGCACAAGAAAAAAATATTTTTTCCTTGCTCGTAATTGGGTAATCTTTGCAAAGTGCATTTTTACCACATTCACTAAGGTAAAAGAAATTCCCTTGCAAAGTGAACAACCTATTTGCCGTAAATTAACCTAACTGTATGCATTTATTGCTTAAAGGCTATGGCTGGGCAAAATAAAAAATAACATCTTCAGTACATCTTTTCAGGACATGCCCATTCACTCATGTTTTGTCTTTTTAAAAACACAACAAGAACAGGAAAATACCTGTTGATCCTGCCAAAAATTCAGTGTGCTTATAACATCCTGTTTGAGCTGAAACACTGTACATCTGCACTGAAATTCTAAGTAGTATTGTCAGCCTTGCCCAGTTGTCTTCTGCTGGGCTACTGAACACCAGCCCTCCTATATCTCTATAAAATAAGGGTGATATGTTCTGTAGTTCAGCACTGAATATTTTTAATGTATCTTAACCAGACATGCACTTTAATACTGCAGAAATGAAGTGTGCTATTAAAATAACAACATTTATCTCCATTCTCCAACTTGTTCAAATTAATTATATTGCATTGTGTTCTTAACGGGCCCACTTATACCGGTGCACTGTGGTAACACAGGTGTTACCACAAATCACAGTAACATATATTACGTGCCGTTGTGCACAGCAGTGCTATTCATTGTCAATGGCACCTTCCTAATTCACTTGCATTGCAATCCACGGTAACACACAACCATGCATTATTGTTCCTTGCAATACAAATAATATGGTCTGATTTTAGGTTCATTGTGGTGCATTAGGCAGCCTATTCAAATAAATGGGCTACCTTAATAAAATGCACTTTAACAGGCAACGAAACGCATGTGATAAGGTCACCACAATGGACCTGAGTGGTGTGCTTGGGTCTAAAAAAATGTATGTCCACTTTTGAAGCCAAATTGGGATAACACCTACCTTATATATGCTATATGTTCCCATTCACAGCATATATAATTTAAAATTGCTGCTTATCTTTTTATTTGCTCATTTCTAAAAACTCCAAAAACTAAAGTTTTCCCCGCTTTGCCATGTTAAGGAGAGAGCTGGAGGGGGCTCGGGAGTTCCTGTCTGAACTGTACTGGCAGATCTCATCAATTGAAAACTAGATTTAAACATTGTCTTTCCTAACAAAGGCTTAAAGGAGAACTATGAGGGAGTGCTTTTCACTCACCTCATAGTTCTAGCCGACCTGTGACAATGAGACTGTCACAGGTCGGCTCAGTAGATCGGGAGGTGAGCGAACACATACCGGCGTTCGCTCACCTCTCGATCCTGTCACGGCTCTCTGCCGTGACAGGGGAGGGGCTGGATTCCCCCCTCCCCGCTCTGATCCGCCAGCGGTGACTGGCGGAACGGACGGGGGAGGGGGCGGGTACAGCTGGCTCTGCCTCTAGATAGGCAGAGCCAGCTGTTAGTCACGCAGCTGGGCCTAGGGTGACGGGAGGACGCTAGTTTGTGTCCTCCCGTTACCCTAAGGAGAACTATGGGGAAAAGCCTTAACCCCATAGTTCTCCTTTAAAGATCTCAAGGCTTAAGTTCTGCATTGTAAATGAGAGGAAACTCAGTCTGTCCCCACCATGTCCATCTCCATTTTCACTTTGAAATGGCTTAGAATAGCTTGTACTCTGCCCAAAGGACTGCTACATAGAAACAACTAAAAAGACAAGACTTTTTTTTTTTTACGTTTTTTTTTTTTTGCTTAAATTAATTTTCAGCTGTGTCTTTTCTTAAATATTGCAGGCACCAGATAGGATCAAAGTCATCTCTGAAAAATATAAAAAGAAGAAAAATGTGAGTACATGCATAGTATATTAACATTTGGACTATGTCTAATGTAAGGGTGGTGATTATACTGGAGCTATCATTAATGTGTGCATTTTATATGTCCACATTACCAAATAACATTATTCATTTTAGTGAAAAAAAAATATGTCTTTCTTCTCATAAAATTCTACTTCTGATCTCATGCAGCCTAATCAGACTAGATCACAAGGTCTCTAGCTACTAGAAGCAAGGAACAAATTGATCTCAAACTATAGCTCCTATCATTTACTGTATAACAAATGATGACTTGTCAGCCCTGTTCTGTAAAGGCAGTTTTGCCAAAATTAAAGTGGTTCTAAACCCTCCCGTTTTTTTGCCTATATCTACTGCTATTAAGCAGTAGATATAGGCAAAAGGTTTTAAAAAAAACAAGAAAAAAATGCTTTAACAGCGCTTAACACTTACCTTGTTTCAGCTGCGCGCTCCCGTCCGATAAAACGAAACTGCTCCGGTGGACGCAAAGCATCTTGGGGCGGGCGCATGCGCAGTTCGGATTCTCGGCCGGGAGACGAGCAGAGACGCAAGGTAAGTCTATGGACGTGTGCACCCGCATGCAGACACCGCTGGATCAGAAGTGCCTGCTAGCAGAGAGGAGTCAGCGCTGGATCGGAGAGCCGCAGCAGCCCTGGAGGGACAGATGAAAACAAGGGGAAAGAAGAGGAAGATCGGATTAAGAGACATCATTTAAGGTAAGTGCTAACATTGACATGTGGGGGAGGGAAACATTTTTTATATGTCACTTTAAGCATTACTCACCACAATATGGTAACATTTGAGTTATTCTATGCAATATTGAAAAAGGGGCTAATGAAGCTAGAAAAGCAATGATTAAGCAATTCAGTGAACAATCTTGTCTCAGTGCCCATTCATACTGAGCGTTTAATCCCGCGATTTCTGCCACTATATCGCGCATATTTGCCGCGCAATATATCGCAAGATGTCGCTCGTTTAATGATTTTCTATGGAGCTCGCCTGTCGCCCGTCGATGTCACGCGTCGCTTGTGCAGGACCCTTTTTCCCGCTTTTTCCCGCTGTGGCAAATAAATACACTTTGGTATTGAAATACTAGGAATAATAGGAAATACAAAATTGTAATATACAGCAATACCTTGGTTTACGAGCATAATTCGTTCCGGAAGCATGCTTGTAATCCAAAGCGCTTGTATATCAAAGCGAATTTCCCCATAGGAAATAATGGAAATTCAGATGATTCGTTCCACATCCCAAAAATATTCATATAAAATGATTACAACACTGTACTGTAATATAATAACGTATAAAATATAAAGAAAAATAAACCAATTACCGGTACCTTTTGTGGCCGGTGTGAGAGGGACAAGAGAGAGGAGGATTATTGCGTAGGACGACTTTCACTATCAGTAACGGAATGACTGCTATCTCTTGACTCAATGGAATCTTTTTCATTTCGTGAAACCTTAACAAGGAATCTATCCAATGTGACATTGTGTTGTCGTTAAACAGACTCATCGCTCGCACTGCTACAGCCTTATTCAGGTGGTGCTTTTCTACAAAATTTTGCTCTTCTTGCAAGACATTTGCTTGTATATCAAAGCAAAATTTTTCAGAAAGGTTTGCTTGTCTTGCAAAACGCTCTCAAACCAAGTTACTGGTAAACCAAGGTATTACTGTACATGAAAAACAATTCTACAGCACAAAAGGCTAATGATATCAAATAAATCAATGTTAAAAAAAATGTTTAGCGGTATAAAGACATTACAAAAAATTCTGAAAATAAAGTTTTTCTTTAAAATATATTGAGAAATGTAAGTGTAAAAGGCAAGGAAACACTAAGATCTTAAAGAAGAACTCCGGACAAATAAACTCTTAACCCTTGCAGTGGGGCTACCCCACGGACTGCAAGGGTTAAATGAGAACAATGAGGTGAGTGAAAATCACTCATCCGCATAGTTCGACCGACGTGTGACAATGAAACTGTCACACGTCGGCTCAATAGATCGCGAAGTGAACGAACACATACCATTGCTCGCTCACTTCTCGATCATCTGCCTGCAGAGAGCGGTGACTGTCAGTCACGGCTCCCTGCAGGGATTCCCCCCTCCCTGTTCCGATCCTCCAGCGCTGACTGGAGGAACAGATGGGGAGGGGGCGGGTGCAGCTGGCTCTGCCTCTGGATAGGCAGAGCCAGCTGTTATTCACGCAGCTGGGTGGATCCCGACAGCATTGTCGGGATCTGTCCCGGCTGCGGCGGTCTCAGTATATAGCGAGCTGTAGCTAACGATATACTGAGCTTTGGGTCACGGGAGGACGCTAGTATATGTCCTCCCGTGAATCCTTAAGAGAACTATGAGGAAAAACACTTACCCCATAGTTCTCTTTTAAGTGCTCATTTTGCCTATAACAGAGATATATTCACCCAAACTTCGATCCTGGCTGGCTCCTATAGGGCATGATTACTTACAGGACCTTACTGTAGCCAGCCTTGCTCACCCTCCGCTCCAGCGGTCTAAGATCTTGTCAACCATCACGTCCTAAATAGTGTATAGGATGTGAGGATGCTTTGCTGGAGTGGAGGAGGAGAAAAGAGGAGACAGGAGGAGAAAGGCTGAAGGGACCATTCATGGAGCAAGCCAGGATCGTGGCTTGGGTGAGTATAACTCTGTTATTTTAGCTCCTTTTGTTGAAAACATTCAATGCAATATGCCAACCTGGAGGTACCGTTGGTGTACGGAATTGCCCAGAAATTCAATTTCTTGCTTGTGTGATTGGTTCACAACATTTTCCAGAAGTTTTGATGAGATACTCCTTAAGGGTTAATTACATCTACAGGGATGTGGACACTACACCTTTTCTAATCAGTACACTGAAAGTGCATCAGGTGGTCATGGTGGAGTGCAGACCCTCCCATTCAGGAATCAGTCTGGGAAGGACATGGCAAAAAAACAGATAGCTTTTTCTTCAGGGCAGAAAAATAGGTAGGAATCTACAACAAAGTTTGTACAAATCCTTGTAATGTTCCTTGGTCGCAGTCAAGTGGATAGTTATTTTCTCAATAAAAGTGGAGTAACATTTTGAATAAAATAAAGATTAATAAACCTTGGTTTGAGGCCTTGTTTAGAAAACTTAACCCAGACATCTTGGATTATCTGAACACGCCAGCTCACACCATACCACACGTATCATTTTGGGGTATTGAGCAACAGTAAATTAATTTAAACATGCTTGGGATAAACATAGGCTTATACTCAGACAAAATGGTTACAAAATAAAAATAAAAAAACCCAATGTTAAGAACAAAAGAGCAGATGTGATGTGCCACGTGATCTTTTTCTGGTGTCACTCATCTATGTTTCTACAAATTGTGCCTCCTTCAGTATTCAAGGTCCTCACCCTATCTTAACTTTCCCCACCAACTCTTTTTTTTGCTTTGTCTACTCCTTTGTTTTGGTTTTGTCCTTTGGTTTCTACCTTTAAAACACAAAAGTTTAATCCACACTGCAGCATACATATTCCCTGAGTAGAAGCTTATCACCCCACCCATCATCTTGGCTCTTCTCTTGAATGCAGAAACCAAAGTCAAGACTATAATGGGTGGAGACAATATTTGACTGATTGCACAACTTCTCTTGCCAAAAATTAACTAATGTTAATAGCAAAACCATAAAAATGTATCTCTGCATCTGGTGATAGATTACTAAATAAGAAAAATAAAATAAAGATAGATAACGCACCTTTTCCACTATTGTCAGACCAATATATCTTATTTTTTTAGATTCTCTTATAGCTTGGCCAGTTTCATGAGAATGGCTTACAGCAGAAGTTGTTCCATTATTTAAAAAAGGTTTTCTTAAAAATGCAGAACTGAGATACTATAGACCAGTAAGTCTGACCTCTGAACGTCATTTGCAAATTATTTGCAGTTACCACACAGTAAGGGATATTATACAAAAATATAACCCTATAATATATACGAGGGTGAGTCAAAAATGATCTGCACTCGGGTTATATTAGGACTTCTGTTGGCTGCACCGTCTTATCAGCGCTTTCCGTTCAAGGCTACTGTCTCCCCAGTCACTGCTGTGCTGGTGTGAAAGTGTTACGTCAGTTCATTTGTAACTGCGGAGCGAGAAAAAATGGATGCCCCACTAGTGATTTGCATGGAAAAAGACGAGCTACAGTGATTTGTTTTTTGTGATCTAAGCGTGTGACTGGTGCCGTTATTTATCGAAGAATTTGTGCGCAGTATGGAGATGTGTTTTGTCATGAAGAAGTCTGTATGGATGGATAGAGAAGTTCAAGGAAGGTTGCTCAAGTGTTAGCCATCAAGAAGGAGCCAGACATCCGTCCACGTCTGATGACAACATTGAGCGTACATGTGAAATGATTCTGTTGAATAGACAAGTTACAGTGGATTATGTAGCTTTGGTCCCCTGAAAACAGCCCTACGAGGATGAAGATTCACCTCTGATGAAGTGAAGACATCGATGCATTCGTGGCTTGCAGCTCAGCCTAAAACATTTTTTAATGAGGGAATACAAAAGCTTGTTGACAGATGGACAACGTGTATTGAAAAGTATGGAGATTATGTCGAAAAATGATGTATCTTTTCTAAAAGTTGATTAAAATAAATTCTAGAGCCAGAGTGCGGATCATTTCTGACTCAACATCGCACAACAACAACAGAAACTTAGCATGGGTTTATGTAAGTGTAGCGTCCCCCTTTCTCGGTCAGTGATATCCCAGTGCAGGATAACACTACCGTTGGCTCCAAAGGGGTGATCTACAGTAAAAGAACTAGCGGGTCTCCCTGTGTTTCCTCTGTAAGAAGCCTCTATAATTGATCCACAGCACACCATGACTCTAGGGTTACTTTGCCCATCAGCACCTACTGCCTTTTATGGTGATTGATTAAAGCGATGTCCAGCCTTTAGATATGATGCTGAGAACTTTATTGTAGAACTTCAGGGAAAGAGGTAGAGCGTAGGGATCATCCAGGCAGATGTAGACTCCATTACATTGCAGAGTGTGGTTACTGCTTCCATGTACACCAGGTAGAGCACCTAACACAGCAATACTTGAGGTAGAAGTTACTGGTTATGTTCATCCTTGTCATCTGTAAGAATAACTGGGCCTAGAACCTCAGGCTCCAGTGTAATCATACGACTAGTCCCCAGGCTTTAGGCCTAGCCGTCTCAGACAAGCCATAGCAGCCTCCCCACAGGCAGGGCCTGGGGGAGGAAAAGAGAGCTCACATATTCCACCCCAAGTATTTATCTCCTCTCCCAGCATGCACCACTAGCTACTGTCTAACAGTGATTGGCTGGAGGGATATCCACTCCATAGCAATCTCTCATTGGTTTCTCTGCTCTGTGACCAGGGTACACCCTGCAGTACACCTAGCAGCAGACAAGTGCAAACAATGACAGATTGATTAGGGGAAACCAAATGAACCCAGACTACAAATCAGCATCAGACCGCATACAATCTGATAACACTAAATTTAATAGCACTCTTTCCTACAAGCTGCTAAATAAGCTAAAACATGTTTAACACAATCATTTTTTTTAGGTAAATTTAAGCTCAAATCTGAATGCTGAAAATGCTGTTTATGACATATGGATATTGAATTCTGAGAAAGCATTTGATATTGTTATTGTTATATAATAGCTTGGAACAGAAGCAAATGATACAAAGAGTTGGGGAGAATATCTGTGCATGGGAAAAACTGATTAAAGAACTAAAGGATAAAGGGTGTGTTGGGTTGGTGTGACGGTTAGGCTCTCAGCCTCACCCTGTGCAGAGATTTTCCTGCTTTGGGACAACAATCTAAGCACCAGCTGGCTGGGAGTGATCATCACTGGGGCAGATTAAGGGTTAGTTCACACCATATGCAGTGCGTTGTGGTCCGATTCTGACCGGAACGCACTGCATCGCATTCCGGCCGGCTCACTTTTTTGTGGGACAGGAGAGGGCGTGGTGGGCCATTTAAGTAAATGGCACCGTAGCCACGCCCTCCGGCCGCAATGCGATCGCCCGCACGGGATCGCAAGGCACATTGTGCCTGCGGTCCGGTCCGATGCGATGCAATCAAAATAGTGCTGGCAGCATTTTGAGCCTGCCGAACAGCTGGCTCCTTGCTGATGGGCTTTCCAGCACATCAGCATGGAGCAGCCTTCCTGACCAATCAGAAACCCGGGAGGCGGATCGTTACTCGCCGCCCAGCTTCCTGATTGGCCGGGAAGCTGGCTCGATGCTGAGTGCAGGGAAACCGGTTTTCCAGCCAATCACAATCGAGCTGGCCAAACAACATTGAGCTGGCTTCCCGGGCAATCAGGAAGCTTAGCGGCATGTCATTACCCACCGCCCGGCTTCCTGATTGCCCAAGAAGCCAACTCCTTGCCAGCGGAAGCATAGGTATCGGTACTCAGTAATGGCGAGTACCGAAAGCAAAATATCGGTACGCGTTACAGAAAAACCGGTATCGGTGCATCCCTACAAATTACTTTGACATACTTTGTTCTAGAAACAAAATTATAGTGTCTTTTTAAACGGGACACATTATATGATGAAATGTATGCTTATTTCCAGTAAAACAACTTTTTTTTTTTTTTTATTAAACTAGCACTGGTAAAAGAAGGAAAAATGCCTTTTCAACTTTCTTATGTCTTTTGGTTTATAGATTCCATATTGTTTTCCAAAATATTACCGAAATAGAGCCAAGTTTAAAAAAAAAAACACCATATACGAGTTAATTTGTTATCTTAAGTAATGACAAAGTTATTGCTAAAAAAAGGTTTGAGGAAATGTAAAATTGGTCAACAAGGGGTATATAAGTTCAAGAGCTGAAGTAGCTAAAGAAAATGCCTGTATCACTCGCTGCCACATCCAGACAGGAATGTAACAAAGTTTACACTATGGTAGCTTCTTACAGCGGCAAAGTTCTTACATTTCTAGTTAACGCATTTAGAGATTGACCGTAACAATGTTTAAATATTGTAATGATGAAAGAAAAGAAAAACAGTGCAGGGAATATTTACAGACTAGGTATTACAAAACAGACGTAAGCAACAGTAAAAAAAAAAAAAAAGACTTTAAAAGTAAAAAAAAGACAAGTGTATTATGCCTGGTTTTTGGTTTAGCACAGAGTTTAAATAACTCTCTGATTAACTGGTAACTGAGTAACTGGCCCTCATAAATGATTCTTAGTATTTCTTCATAGTTTTTATGGCAAAATGAGAGCTCAGAGCTACCAAATGCAACAGCTTTTCTTGTCTATGGAGAGGGTGTCGCAGTACTAGCTTTACCTAATCAAAGGGTCCGAGGTGCGTGGCATAGGTATGCTGGAGTATTTTATAATGCTCCAGCAGACATATGCATACAGTCAACTATCCCGAGCACATCTATATTTCAAAATAACAAGGTTTCATAATCTGACAAACAGCATATAATTTAGTAAAATTAAATTATGATTTGGTAGTTATATATCTTCTGCCTTCTAGACCTTGTAAATTAGGCATGTTTGCTTGTTGGTATCTTCTTATACATTAGTGTAGCCATTTTTTTAGAGAGGTAACTTAATTAAAGTAAGAATGTGGGGCATTGAATGAAACTTAACTTGTATACTGAAAATTCTGTACTGTAGATCAGTGTAATAAGAAAAAAAAACATTAGTATCACAGATGTGTAATGCTCACTAGATGGTTTACCACAAGGCCATTTATGCTAGGCCAAGTCTTTTGAAGTGGCAGTTTATGAAATCTATGTATTGTTTCTTACCTGGCTTGTGTTATGACAAATATGTCACCTTCTCTGGCTGCCTAGCACAGATATGAGATTTAAATCTGACCATTTTTTATGGGTCAAAAATTAGGGTGGCCGTATAGTTTGGCATCCATCAGACCTCACTATAGTCACAGTTGTTTGCTCATCTGGGGTGTAGTCATTCAGTCAACAGTGCTGACTTCCCCTGTTGGGCTGCCTGCGGTGACCACCGTTGACCCTGCAGACCTCTCTGTGCCTTTCTGCTCTCCTGATGGTACTCTTCATGCATACTCCCTATTTGGCAGACATCTATTTTTTAGCTTGATATTTGCATGAAACTATTAATACCTTATCTTAAGGCTGGGTTAACTCCATTTTCCGGACCAGATCTGGGACATAGTGCATTGCGTTTTTGCCGCGTTTTTACCATGATTTTGCTGCGATTGGATTTTCGTTTAGTTTTAAATGGTCTTGCAGGTGCGTTCCAGTGCGTTCTATGCGTTTTTTGTGTTTTTGATGCGCTTTGATGCGTTCCAGTGCATTCCAGACCAGACAAAATAGGACAAGCAATATTTTTCTGGTCTGGTCTGGTCTGGAACGGACTGCACTGGTGGGAACAGAGTCCATAAATAGCATAGGGATACATTGGGATGCATTTTGGTTCCGGAAAAAGTCTGGTCTGGTCTGGAGGTAATCTGGATGTGGTGTGAATGGGCCCTCCATTAAATATCTAAAGACAGAGGGGAGAATCTCCCAAAAAGGAACACACACATACAACAAATGAACAGGAGTTTACCCACCTCACCATTCACTCACCACAAACTAAAAAATTGCTTTGTCTGTAAATACACTTCACTTCATGGCACAGTATTGTAATAATACAATCTGCAACTAAAAATCAAGGAAATACATTTCAGCACAGTGTCTGTGAAGGATTTTGGAAAAACAAGTTAAATAATTAGTTCCTTCAAGTTTTACTGATGCTAGAATGATCTAAGGACTGAACAGTGAACTTTGGTGCATTAAAACATTCCTAGGGGAGTTTGGTCAGCTGACTATCCAGGTTAAGAGCTTGATGTGCCATTATTCTATAATTACCCCCTGTCGTTTTTCTCTTTTTCTCAGGATCCTGCATTCATAGAGAAACGAGAGCGCTGTGCCTATTTAAAGGAGAAACTAAGTCATATCAAGAAGCAGATCCAAGCCTACGATCAGTGTGAAGGATCTGTATATTTCTAAAAGATGATATAGTCACACAAAACACTGAGAACAATATATTTAAGTTATTATATATTTAAATGAATTAAGGACATTAAATCAAGCCCGCAGAGCAAATTTGTAAGAGAAGGAGAGAGAAAGAAAGTCGTAGTGGGGTTAATTTACTAAAGGAGTAGAGGCTGTTTATGTATCAAAATGAACTGTTAGTAAATAAGTGGAACTTTACTACTCTGCACCACAATGGCAGCTGGACTCTGATTGTTTTAGACAACACAGTACCTTTCCTTTGCTCATTTTTTTACTCAGTCCCTGTGTTAGTTCTCATAAATTAGAGCAAACCGCAGAATAACCTGTTGTTTTAAAGCCCATTCACACATGATAGTGTAGCACTTTATCGTCATGCACATTAAATGTGTTGGTATGATGCAATGCCATTCATTCTGAATTGGCACCCCCAGGTGCATGCACCAATTTTTTGGCAACATACTTTAGTGTGTTGCAGAGCATTGCACTGTGCAGCAATGCATGTCCATTGGCAAAGTGCATTGGGATGCCATTCAAATGAATAACACATCACATGAACACATTTAAACTTGTGTAATAGATTTCCACTTTTGCCGTCAAATTTGAAAAAAAAACCCTCTATATGTTTGTTGTATCTTCCTATTCACACAGCATACCCAAAAATGTTTTTTTTTTAAATACTTCTTTCCTTTTTAGATGTTTTTTTTTTGGCAGCAGGCAACATGGCTGATTCCAGGTTTTTCTGAGCACCTTCACTGTGATCTGTACTAATAGGAAGACTAAAGGTGGCCATACACCTGCCGATTATCGTACGATAATTGCGGGGAAATCCCATGATCGCCCCTCAGCGGGGCAGGCTTGCGATGATCGGAAGTACCATCTGCCTGTCCAAGATGGGCAGATCGTACGAGCTTTTAATTAGCTTACAACCATCGCAAGACGAAAGTCGTGTGATGGTTGTAAAGTGTATGGCCAGCTTTAGGATTGAAATTTGAGGATTGTGTTTCTCTCATTAACTTCATTAACATAGAAAGAAGACGCCGGGCTTGCAATCCTTTAACCCTTTGTTAGGACAGGCAGTGTTCACGTCTACTTTACAAATTATAATGAACAAACCCCTTACCCATCACAATCCCTCCTAACATTACAAAGGAGGAGAAGCTAGTAGTGATTTTAACTTAGGAAGCCAAGAAACCCTTACCCAAGTAAAAACAATTTAAACTGCAAGAAGCATTTTTAAAATATTTGTTTAGTGTATTCAATGTGAATGGGAACGGGAACATGTAACAAAAAAATAAATAAATGTGGCTGCAAAAGTGGAATTACACTTTAAATCAGTAATGAGTTAAAAATTATCTGTATAGTTTAGGACTCAGCTGTATCAACAGATTACTGTTTATGTATATAAATATTTTTCAGAATCATTTTCAGAGTGTCATGAAGTTATAACAGTCATAGCTGTTTTCATCTTCATATGCCTAGGGATTTGCAATGTTGTAAATATTTCCAGACCAATGTATCATGATATTCTGTATTTATGGCTTTTCTCTGAACAGCTTGTTACTCCATGAACTGTTAATATATTTCTGCAACCTTACAAACTATGATTTCGCCCTGTTCCTTTAACATTGTATTAGGATTTTCCTTGTTCCTTTAGCATTAGAGTTGTCTTCGTTTTTTTTGCAATACTCCACAACACTGGAGGATTAACTGTATAATCTTACCACCACAATTGTTTTCTTCAATTAAAGCTGAACTGCAGACAAACAGATAAATACACAAATTAAATCCATACACCTGCTAAAAGTTATGCATTTCTTCCCGTCCATTTCTGAGATTTACAAAGCTCTGACACACAGCACAGCCCTGTGTATTAAAGCAAGAGATATGCATTTTCTCTTCTGCAGTTATGTAATATTAAACCTTTGCTATCTTTTTTTCAAGATGAGGAGGTCTGCACTTTTTTGAACATTTTTCTTGTTGAAATTTGTCTCTCTCCTCTTAATGCAGCTGGTCCACAAACCGCTGATCCCCCTGCCTGTTTGCGGGTGTCTACTTCAGCTAGTCCGCTGCGGAGGAGACACCCATGCGTGCCTGTTCACGTCTGTACCCTGCACCTAGCTATGTGTGTCCATAGCTTCTCCCTCTCACAGTCAGAGTTCTGCTATACAACAGATTGAAAGAGATGCCAAACCAAATGTGGGTACTTAGATTGCTTGCATTGCAAAACAATTTATACATTTCATAATAAATTCATGAACAGAGCTGCATGAATTTGTGTATTTTAAATCTGTCAGAAGCTCAACTTTAAAAACGCATATAAAAATACCAGTAAAACGTTTGTGTATTATTTCCATTTCATAAAAATATTTTGCAGTATCTTTTAATGGTCTCTGTTTTTGTGTATGCTGTCTGTATGTGCTTTATGTATTAATCGTTTATTTGTATGACACCACATTCCAAAGAAGTAGTGGAATGCTAGAAAAGTATCTGATATGTTATGTACATGCCTTCCTGCTCCTTAAAGGGTCAGTCCCCCCAAAAAAATAACATTTAAACTACGAGTGTTCACTTTTGTGTTTTGGGGTCTGGCAGCCACTGTCTCAATTATTTGCATGAAGCATACATTGGTAATGTTAAATTATTTTGAATTGCAAGGCTGTGCGATGAAGACTGCACAGCGGGGCTTTAGTTGTTATAATGAATGTTATAACCATATTATTGGTAACCTAGACTGTGAATCTATCAATGCCTAACAACTATGTGAAATTACTTTGAATTGCAATGTAGATTTTCACTTTCAAGATCTGATATTAGCAGTTGCAGTGAAGCCCTTTAAGCCACTTATGATACATTCCCATTGTATTGTCTACAGAGTTTACCTCTGTACAGCCCTCAAAAGGTATTTGGGCATGCATAAGATACAACTCATTCAGACACATTTGGTTAATGTATGAAATACTAAATGGAGAAGCTTGAATAGGTTTTTTTTCTACACCCAAGACATACCTCCCAACTTTCTAAGATGAGAAAGAGGAAATTTTAGAGTACGAAGTATGCATGCAAAGGACACACCCCTGCCATACCTCCAGTAACGCAGATCAAAAAGAATTAATACAGAAAATGTGGTTGGTTGAACCCACAGGTGCTGGTATTCCACTACGTATTATTATTTATACTGGTCTCAAAAAAAAAAAGCAAATGCAATAATTTAGAGGTTTGCTAAAAAAGTTACGTGCAGTAAAACACTTGTAGCCCCCATCACCTTTTGTGAGGTGGCTACTAGAAATGTATTGATTGCCAGGACTGTAGTAAATATGGCTGAATTATAGTTGGCATGTATCTGGTTAATTCCAGGTGTACTGGCATTGCTTGTACCTACCTGGGTGGAGTATGACTCTGCTGCAGTGTGGGACAGTCAATGAGGGGCATTGTGAGTGTGTGTGCCATTCACCAGGCAATCACTGGGGCTCTTTCAGCCAGTGTTGCATGTTGAGGAAGTCCTTATATACTCCAGGGAATTACCATGTGCTCAGTCTAGTTTGGGCTCCAGCCATGGATTAGTCCAGGTTGGGGTGTTGTCCAGCCACCTGAGGCCTGGAGTTGGGGATTTTGGGGTGCGGGAAGTGTTTCGCTAGGCCTCAAGTATGGAGGAGTCCTGTGCTGTTGTCAGAGGAGGAGAACCATGGACGCTGATGGCTGCTGGAAGTACTCGGAAAATAGTGGATCTCAGGAACAAGTTTGGTGTCTCTCCTGTTGAGAACCTGTGCTCATCCCTGCTCATCTGCTACTCAAATTCATATTTGCTGGGCTACAAATGGATCTACCCTGAAATGCTAAAAAGGGACTGGTGAGTCTGGAGTCTATGTCTGTACTACCCTGGGTGTCTAGGATCCCTGTACCCTCTCTCCCCAGTGTGAAGATGCTAATAAAAGTCCTTCAGCATTATACTTTTGGAGTGGACACCAGCTTTGTGGACACTAGAAGAGGGCAGTTAATGCTAATAGGGCAGCTGAACACTAAAACCCCTAGCATATTAGTGATGACCCGGGTTATTCTGGCAACTCCTTTGGGGGGTGAGCACTACACACTTTTAAAAGATATATTATTTTTATATTTAGATATATGCATTGGACCAAAAAGAGGGACAACCCAGCCAGGTCACTATCTGCAAGGAGTTTGCATGTTCTCCCTGTGCTTGAGTGGATTTCCTCCGACACTCCAAAGACATGCTGGTAGGTTAATTGGCTCCTGTCTAAATTTGCCCTTCTGTGTATGCGTGTGAGATAGGGACCCTAGCTCCTTGAGGGCAGGGACTGATGTGAATGTGCATTATGTAAAGTGCTGTGTAAATTGTCAGTGCTATGTAAATACCAATAATAAATAAATAAATCTGAGGGAGACAAAGGGACAGAGGGATTTGATTTTTTTTTTAAATGGACAGTTTCTCCAAATGAGGGACAGTTGGGAGGTATGCCTAAGAAAATTGTAAAGCTGGCCTTGTGTTGCAATTGATTTCTACAATCTCTTTTCCAACTACTTTGTTGTGTGTAATGTGTGTGTACCTCATTGGATATAAATTGATTGGATTAAGTAGGTGTTCACGCTAGATCTAGGGCCGGGACCCCTTGGCAACATTTGCCAAGTTGTGGTGACCCCCAATGGTAAGATTTAGGCAGTGTCGGACCTAAGGAACAAAGGGCACTGGTGCAAGATTTTTTTTTGGGCCCCCCCCCCCAAAAAAACCCCCCACAAACACAGCGCTCTCCTTCCGCCGCTCGGCCGGCTGTCACTTTCTCTCCTCCCCGCTGGGACACAGAGCAGCGCCCAGCGGGGAGAAAAGAAAGCAGGGATGTACTGCTGTTTCGGCAGAAAAATGGCAGAGACTCAGTGACACACAGGAGTAGGGAGGGTGAGATGCTGTAGAGACACAGTGACACACAGGAGTAGGGAAGGTAAAATGCTGCAGAGACACAGTGACACACAGGAGTAGGGAAGGTAAAATGCTGCAGAGACACAGTGACACACAGGAGTAGGGAAGG